GTTAAACACAAAAAAGACAGACTCACTGAACATTTCAAACAACTCGCAAAGGAGTCTAAGCACACAATGTGGGAACATTTTTGTCAAGAAATAGGTTACGAAAAATCTCTCAGAAAATTCTGGCGGCTCCACCAAAAGATGAACGGAGGCAAACAAACCTCTGTTATGCCCGAGCTAAAAATGGACAACGGGGTGGTGTTAAAATCGGATAAAGACAAAGGGGAGGCTATCCTGCACAGATTTCTCCTGCAGACGGAAAAGAAAGACAGGGAAGATAGGGAGCAGATGAAACAGAATTTACATGATATCCAGATAGCTGAAATCGAGGAAGACGATGATACAGTATACATCTCAACGGACTGCATCAAAGCAACACTGAAGACCTGTCCAGACACAGCTCCAGGTCCTGATGGCATTAGATACAGCGACTTCAAAAGCCTCGATATGACAGATATGGATGAACTTTCCACGATTTTTAACAACACCATGAAAACTGGCATTATTCCTGATGACTGGCTCCACAGCTATCTCAGACCAGTTCCTAAGCCAGGAAAAGACCACACGAGAATAAATGGCTATAGGATCATAACACTTCAGAACACGGTAGGAAAACTCATGGAAAAAATCGTTGCCAGAACGTTAACCCAAAAATTAGAGTCGGGTGGTCTATTACCCGCTACACTAGGAGGTTACCGACCAGGAAGAGATACATGGTGCAATGCTGCAGTTTTTGCTTACGACACATATGAGGGTTTCCAGGAGGGAATGGAAACTGCTGCAGCCGCTATTGACTTAGAAGATGCGTACAACAGCGTCCCATACAACATGCTCATCAGACTGCTGTTGGATATGCAGATAGAGACAAAGTTGGTCAACTGGATAGCAGCAGCGTTTTTTGAAAGAACAGTGTCGCTTCGATGTGGTAAATGGGCATCCGAACCTCAACGAGTCCTAATGGGTCTGCCACAGGGATCACCACTGTCGCCTGTGCTCTTCAATGTGTACACAGCAGGAGTCACTAGTGCACAACGCGTAGGTCTAGGTAGAACAATGTCGTATGCAGATGATATTCTTGTTTACCGTCGAGGTAAAAACAGGCAGGAAATTACAACCACACTACAACACGAACTGGACAGACTTAGTGAGTGGTGCCAGGAATCAAGAGCTCAAGTGAACCCGTCCAAAGCCTCCTTAACATGGTTCTCTCTAAATACTCACATCGTCAATACACCAACGCCAGTCGTAAGCATATGTGGTGTGGACATTGAGAGAACGGACACCATGAAATACCTGGGTATGACATTTGACAGATGCTTGTCATACAAATGCCACGTAGACAACGTCATACTTAGAGCCAGAAAAGGTCTGACAGCACTCAAGGTGCTAGCAGCAGCTGATATTGAACAACGCCTACTTTTCCTTCTCTATCAAGGGCTTGTGCTTAGCGTCATTGACTATGGTCTTGGCCTCCTCACTGTCAGCAAAACCCAGCTAGAAAGACTGGACCGAGTACAAAATGAGGCCATGAGACTCATACTCGGCTGCACAAAAGACACCTCCTGCAACGCCATGCGTTATGTCCTGGGTTTGCCAACGATGACTAGCAGATACAAAGTGGCACAAGTCAAGGCTTACATGAGGGTATCGGCAGACGCTAACCACCCATTGCACAAAGCTATATACGACACAAAAGGAACGCGTCTCAAAAGAGGCCGCTCTTGGATGGCAAAGGCTGAGAATTTGATCCAGCAGGTATGTGACCTACGCGTTATCAGGCACGGAAAAGAATGGATGAATACACCAGTAGACATGCATGGCATCTCTAAGGTTGTCATCACACTAGGAAGGTACTGTCGGGATCAGATTCCTGCGGCCATAGACACAGAAGTAAGGGAACTGATAGATCAGCATTCAGACCCAGAAGATATCATCATCTACACAGATGGGTCCGTGAAGCGCGGATCAAGGTCAGCATGGGCATACACAGCGCAAAGAAGGGGGAAAACAATACATGAGGACAGCGGCGCTTACCAGACAACCACGTCAAGCATGACCATGGAAATAGCCGCTGCTTCTAGAGCTTTAGCATGGGTATCCGAGCAAACCGCCACACAAGCAGTAATTGTCTCAGACTCAATGAATATGCTTCAGAAAATAGCAACAGGCAGTATGCGCTCTGAATGGATAGAAAGCATTCGGAAATCGCACTTAACTTCCGTAACCTGGATCTACACACCGGGTCATGCGGGCGTAAAGGGAAATGAGCGAGCGGACCAACTGGCAAGCACAGCACTAATGATTGCGGGAAAAAGCATGGACAGAGCAGATATCGTTAACGCTGTACGTACTGGGCTAGTGGATAATATCGAATCCCTGACACTAACACGATTGCGTGACATGGGAGTTAAGCATGGTGAAGCACGTCTTTGCCGTCTGCGAGGCCGAGAAAGGAGACAATATAACCAGCTTCTCATGGGGACAATTAGTAGAAGTACTTTGGAGTGGCTGCTGCTTCGGAGGACTGCGCACGCATGGGTATGCCCAATGTGCAGTGACGTCGATTGTGATAACAAAACACAAAATAACATTTTATAGGAAGTCGGCATTCTGAAACCCAAGTTCAAGGTGTCTCCTTCGTGCCAAAGAACTGCATGGCTGTTGGGTGAACAGTCGTTAACGAAGGCAGTCAGGTCGTTGTAGGGGCGACGCCTGCTGGTGGATGTAATGTCCTAAGTCCCTTTCCCAGCTAATAGTGAGGGTACTGCTGGGGTGACCATTTGTTAACCCCTCACATAATGCTTCAAGTCACAGTGGACACTAGGCACGACCACTTTTTTTTTTTTTTTTTTTTTTTAAAGCCGTGGCAGTTCTGCCAGGCGGTGGCCGTTGCATTTTTGCTCCATTTGTAGACTGGAAGGATATAGTTTCGTCACCCAGCTTCTGAGTTGAGTGCATGGTGTGACACTGTGAGCTACGAGTGTTTTTCGTTGGCACAGGAGCGGAGCAACAATGGGGTGACCCGTTTGCTATGATGCTGAAACTAGGATTACCAGATCTTTCTATACTGGGGGGAGGGGAAGGGGGAGGCCAAGCCACTGGCCTGTGATGATATTTTTGGCAAAATTTTGACCCCTCAGTAAACCTACTTAAATACCCCTGCTCTATAGCACGTTGAGAAAGCAGTTTTACGGGTAAATGTACCAAGGACAGTGTCGGTTTGCAGCTGCTTAGAGTGAAAAGCTTAGATTCATTGATCAAATAGAGGCTGACTGAGTGGTAGACATTCTAATATCATAACTTGCACAGTTCATGGCAACTGTATTAGCCAAACAACCATAAATCCTGAGGTTTAAAAAAACCACCCCCCCCCCCCCCCCCCCCCCCCCCACTATGTCATGTACCTCCTTAACAAATAAATACAAATTGTGCCATGTCCACTACGAAAGTTGGCTGCAACGTATCTACTCTTAAACCTACCAGACCTGAGGCGCTGAACCTAACTGTCCCCTATACCTGAGTTCCTGGGCATTAACATGAAAAAAACCAACATGAATGATGAAAATATTAGTTACATGCAAACAAGTGTTTAGAATAAAATCAAACTTGAAGACATTGTAGAAAATAGGTTAACCTTTCATCTAGCGCCAATCTTCCCCCCTTTGTGTGCCAATACACCTAGCAGGATCAGCCTTGTTTCACAAAGTGAGCACAAGATGTTGCTGTTTGAGGGACACACCCCCTTCTCTTACTATCGATCTAGTTTTAAATCTATAATTTTCATAATTCTTCTCCTCACTCTAGCTCTTACTGACTGTGTCACTTTAACTGGGAACATATTTTTCATGAACGTATTCACAGTCTGAATTACCCAAAGTATCGATCACCTGTTGGACTGTGAAAAGCCTAGACCTACGTCACTTTCTTGTCAAAGCCGCTCGTTTCATTGAGATTTTTCCGAAATTTTTTCACATTAAACCACACAAAGAAATCTAAACACACGTGGGAAGTCATTCGCAATGACTAACCACAAAGTCTGATAGCAATTAGCTGGTTATTTTTAGTCTGTGACGCATATTTTTCATGTACAACGTAAATACTCGAAAAATCGGGTCAGCAGTCTGGTAGGGTTAACTGTAAATATTACCTAATGAGGCTCCATTGTCTTCCACATGCGGCATGTTTATCACTGCCTGTTAGCCAGGAGAATGGTCTTTCTCTAAACTGTCCACCATGGGAATCAGATCCTGGCAAACCGGACACACGCAAAAATCCCAACCTACACAGTCTGTGCTGACAGTACTAGCCGTGTGGACCTAAATCCTCAGGCTCCATGACCCTCCGCAGAAGTGGTAAATCTTTTACTTCTTCTTTTTCAGCATTCGTTGCCCTTGAGGTATCACCGGCCTCGATTCATCTCTCTGGCTGGCCTTCTCTTTCCAGCTGGTGAAACCAAGTGTTTGCAGGTCTGTCTGGACGTTATCTCTCCATCGTCTTCTTGGTCTTCTTCTGTGACCATTTATCTCCCATGTGTATACAGTTTTTACTTCTCTGTCATCTGACATTCTTTCAAAATGCACTAACCATTTCAGTCTATTAGCTCTCATGATGCCAGTGATCAGTGGTGATTTAAACAGATTATGAATTGAATTTCATTGTTGCTTCTCACTCACCATTCACCGCTGTTTGTATCTTTGATGGGTCCAAAGATTTGTCGTAAGACTGTTTTCGAAATCCTGTAATAAGGCTTCATCTCTTTTAGTTGTGCTCCAAGTTTCAGAGCCATATGAAACGACTGGTCTTATCAACATTTTATATATTTTGATCTTGGTGTTGCAAAACAGACACTTTGACTTTAGCAGATGTTGAAGGGCATAGTATACTTTATTTCCAGATTGTGCAAAAGTGGTAAATACAGACAGTAATTGGCAGGTTTATTTTTGGTCAGTCTTTTGCATGTTGATTTTTTCTCACAGTTAATTGCTTTTTTGTTTATCTGACAGCTTTTTCACAAGTTCCAGTAGCTGTTCACAATTCAGACAATTCAGGGGTCAGTACACCGCAGCGAGAGCAAAGAACTTCCAAAGTGTTACCATCAATCCCTCAGTACAGGAAAGGGGATATTACTGTAACAGGAACTGCCACAAATGCCGCAAAATACTAAAACAACTTTTTTCTGTGTTGTAATTGTGGCTTATTACAGCAGAGACAGTTGGGTATTTTGTTTAAAAGCATGGTATTTATTTGTAACAAATTGCCTGTCATTTATGATATATAATTCAGATGTATTTTTTCTAAAGCATTAATCCATTTGGTGTCAGAGTTCATTACCTTTACTTCTTTTTCCCCTTTATTTTTTTATTTTTGCCTTTAATTTCCCACCGCAGCAGCTGCCCTCAACCCAGCGTCATCTTAAAATATGAGCACACTGAGCAGTTGCCAGTGTATCCCATGAGTAAAGAAGCGTCATACTAATTTATTTACAGACCAGAATGTATCTTATTCTTGTGAATGACTATCTAAGCAGGGTGTGATGCATTGCTTTGCCTGAGGTGTATAACAATGTTGATTCTGACAAATGCTGACTTTGAAGGGAAAATCCCTGATAAGTCACTTTTTATTTCAAATGTTTGCTAGTAAAAACGTACCGCTATCGAAACCCACTGCTGGCTGCGAGGATTGTTATGGTTTGGGATGTCACAGGTCGACCCACCCTTAAATGGGTACCAGGATGGCTGTCCTGGGGAAGTAGAGACGGCCTAAGGCGTGAAAAGGGATCTTTACTTACTTACTTTACTTGCTAGTAAAAGGGGGTGGGGGTGTCGTACAGTGATTACTTTGACCTATTCTGTCTAGTTGTTATCTTAAATGTTTCTATTTGTAAAAGAGCTTTTTTTTTCATTGTTAGCTGGTTAGTTAGTCGACAGATTACCCTCATTGCACATCGAACCATTCAGTCCATAAGTGCTCGGATCCCCTCCTTAGTAAATCCTGCAGCGTGTAGCGGCTGACGACACCAGTTCTGTCTTGGTTTCTTATTTTTCAATGCCACACCCCCCCTTTAACATGGTGTCCTTGCAGTTGGTCGTTGTTGCAGTTTCACAGTCATCATTTGGTTCTCGCAAAAGTCTAACTTCTTATAGTGCACCCTCCACGGTAGCTTTACCTGCGAGCCGATCAGCTTGTTCATTTTCTTGCATGCCTGCGTGCCCTGACACAAGCATGAAAATATATAAACAACAACTTCATTGTTATACGGCTCGTCTAAATGTAACCATTAATGACACACATGAATGTATGCAGTTGTCTCCAACACACTAGCAATTCTCATATGTGGAGTTTTTGGGTCAGCACTTGGTTACAGATATGCTGGGATGGTCCACAGTTACAGCCACACCCATGACACTATATTTATCTTTGTTACTGTTACTTTTGTCCAGGTCTTTTAGTAGTTTTTTTAACTCCTGCTGAATTAAAGTGTTGTTATATTAAAATCTGATTTACCCGGCACAATAAGAGTTAACACTATTTTTCTTGAATAATTTGTTCATATGTTTTATGTATTTTTATATTTCAGAAATATGTCTCATACTTTGTACCTCATTTTGCCTGCAAGTTATGCACTAGAACATTCTTATGCATTGTTAACTTCTTTGTCTTTTGACATAATTGCTTTTTATTGCATTGCTTATATTTTCTATTATATTATTAGCTTTTAGCAATTTATATTATATAAAATACCACTTTATAAAGTTACAGACTGGATCATACTTCAGAATTATTTACTAATTTGTTTTCTTTTTGTTTTCTTTTTTTTTAAATATTTTTTTTGTGGGGGGGGGGGGGGGGGGGTGGATCTCATAATTAGTCTTTACCATTTAAAATTATATGCAGTGTCTCTCTGTCCAACCTCAGCTGCTTAATATCTGTGATAATTATTTTTTTAAAGAAAGATCATAATTTACATGTAAATAGCAATTTGTGTTTGTTGTTAATGCTTGTTTGCTCTAATTTCATCTACATATCCTTGTATGTATATCGATTCAAACTTTCTTATTATTAGTTCTAATAATTCCAATACAACACTTATCATGAAATAACCATTCTTGCTCATGCCTACACTTACATAATGAATGAATGAGATTCAGCCCCACCAGGACATCTACCAAGCGATAAACACCCGGCGACACAAAGTGCCACCATGCAGATGAGGACCACCCGGGGAGAGGTCCCAGAAATCCTGTTTAGCCACTAGGTTATATCCAGGCCCCTGGCAACAGCTGGGGGTGGGGCTTTAAAATAACAAAAAATTGTGTCCCGTATCGAGTCGACAGATGTATACACTTACATAATGTGTCGTTTAATAGGTTAAATAGACTACACACTACAAATGTCATGTTGGGTCTGAAAATTAACTTGAACTATTAATGCAGCAGTAGCATCAATTACCAGTTTTGTATATTTTCGTTAATGTACTGTTGAAAAAAAAAGATAGCAAAATGTCCACTCTAAAATGTAGATACAGAAATAGTATTCCTGTATGTTTTTTCTCCTTCTCTCTTCTTAATGTGAACCCCAACCATAATATAGTATGTTCTTAATTATGTTGTATTTGATTAACCAACAAAATCTGGCCTCCGTTAGGGTCACTTCCTGTGTATTCAGCCTTTTTGAAAGTAGTCCACTGTAATGGTTATTTTCTCCTGTTCTTCTGTTCCTCTTCTTTTGCCCTTTATCCCCCAGTGGAGCATAGGCACTCAGCCAACTGAACGCTGAGTTGGCCATTCTATTGCTACCACATGCAGCTCACCTTATGTCCTCTCTTATCTTTTTAACTTCACTCTCTAGATCTCTTCTCCATGTGTTTCTTTGGTCTGCCTTTATTTCTATGCCCCTGTGGGTTTCAGCACAATCACATTCTAGCCATATTGTCCTCAGGTTTCCTCAACATGTGTCCTGTCCAATGCCAGAACCTTTTCTTCAGCTCTTGACTCACCAGAATTGATTAGTTCTTTTCCAGAGTTGCTCCCCATTGGTGATTCTATCGTACCATTTAATTTCCCCTGTTCTCTGCAGGAACAGTTAATGAATGTTTGTAGTTCATTAGTGTTGTTTTATTTGTTCTCTATGTTTGAGCTCCATACAGCAGTTGTTAATATACTGACAGTCTTTTTAGCCAGAAATAATTTAAAAACAAATTTCAGCCTTGATGCAAATTCAAACTCTTGACCACAGGATTAACAGTCAAGCGTTTATTACCACTGAGCTACTAAAGCTTTTGCCTGTGACATAACCCAGTTTTAAAATGATTTTCTCTCTCTTCTATGACATTGCCTAGTTTTAAATGTTTTCTTTCTCTCCCTTGACATTACCCAGTTTGAAAATGCTTTTCTTTCTCTCCTATGGCATTACACAGTTTTAAAATGCTTTTCTTTCTCTCCTACAACATTACCCAGTTTTAAAACGCTTTTCTTGCTCTCCTATGACATTACCCAGTTTTAAAATGCTTTTCCTTCTCGCGTACGACATTACCCAATTCTCCCATTACAGTCTTCTTCTTCTTCTTCAGCATTCCAAGTCCTTGAAGTTCATTGCTGCAGATGTCACCCATCTCCGTTCATCTCTCTGACTGGCCATCTCTTTCCAGTTGGTAACTGTAAGTCTTCGTTGCAACTGGTACTATTAGCATCTTGACTCATCTTGGCTACTGAAGATGTGGACAGAGCAGGTGTGGGAATGTTCCAAGTGGAAAGGTGTCAACTCATTCAACATAGTCCATGTATAGGACAGACTTTAATTGTAAATTTTAACAATTTGGGAAAACATATGGTCTTATACACAGAAAGGTCTGGTAATCCTGCCCCCTACTATTGATTGAACCCAGACCACTGTCTTAACAAGTATACTACTCATTATAGCACCATAGCTCTGTGTACACATTTGAAAATAAATATTTATCTCATGGAACCCCCCCCCCTCTTCCATTTTTTTAAAGGGCGGGGGGGGGGGGGAAGAGGGGGGGGAGATGGACCCACTACTCCATAACAAGCATGTTGGAAAGGATGAGTATCTGATGATTTGCTTAAATTTATGTCTTTGGTCTGAGGTTGAGGACGTTGTGAAAAAGGCCAGCGGCAAGTCTGCCCCAGGTCCGAACGGTGTTCCGTACGTTCTTTACAAGCGTTGCCCGAAAATCCTTAAAATGCTTCACGTCTTGTTGAGACAAGCGTGGATCCGCAATCACATATGTCCAGAGTGGTCAAAGGCAAATGGGGTCTACATTCCCAAAGAGCAGGACTCGAAGAGTCTTTCCCAATTCAGGCCCATCTCGCTGTTGAATGTTGAGGGTAAGATATTCTTCTCAGTCATGGCTCGCCGGCTCACACAGTATCTGATGACTAACAAGTACATAGATACGAGTGTTCAGAAGGGTGGTATCCCAGGCGTTCCTGGGTGCCTTGAACACGCGACCATGATCTGGGAGGCTATCCAGAGAGCCAAGCATGAGAGAACCGATTTGCACGTTATATGGTTGGACTTAGCCAACGCCTACGGGGCAGTCCCCCATAGGTTACTGTGGCGAGCCCTTCGCATGTTTCACGTACCGACACAGATCAGTCAGATGATCGAGCAATATTTCTCTAAGTTCGCTTTGCGCTTCTCTACCTCGACGTTTACCACGAGGTGGACTGAGTTGCAGATTGGGATAGCTATGGGTTGTACGATCTCACCTATACTGTTTGTCATGGCAATGCAGATCGTGTTAGACGGGGGGGGGGGGGGGGGGGGGGGGGGGGGGGCCGGCTACGGACTGGGCCTTCAAATAGGGGATCACTGGTTGCCGCCACTGCGCATTTATGGATGACACGACTATTATAACGGGCAGCGAGGAGTCTGCCCGCACGATCCTGGAAAGATTGGACGCGGTGGTCCAATGGAGCGGTATGCAGTTTAAACCGCAGAAGTCGAGGAGTCTGTCAATCCATAAGGGCAAGGTGTCGGCAATCAGTTTTACGGTGGCAAGGAACAAGATCCCTACGGTTCTGGAGGAACCGGTGAAGAGCCTCGGTCGCGTCTACGATTCGAAGTTATCTGACAGAGCGGAAGTCCGGCGAATACATGAGTCACTGGCTACAGGCCTGCTCGCGATCGAGCGATGCAGGC